CTCACTAAAATATTAAAGTCGGGCTTGCAGTGGTTTTGCTTGATGCAAGGTATGCCGCCTTTTTTATTCCCTTTCCTTTCAGACGTTGAGAAGCATTGCAGCAGCTTTTTCTCATAGCAGACGAAACTATTCGTTGGCATACGTTCAGCAGGTAGTTCAGAGGTACCGTTGATGTATTTGTTATTTAAATATGAAATTAGAATGTGTAAATATAGCGCGTTTATCAAGTGGTCATTTTGAAAGCGAGGCTACAAAACCAAACCATGATGTCGGATGTAAGCAGTGGTGAGACGGCAAGCATATCAGTAGAAGACGTTGTCCTCGTCATATTTGTCAATGACAACACAATCTACTTTAAAATGACACTAACATGTATTGACACTGATCATTCTGTAAGGAAAATAAGTAAAACCGAAATCATTATAACTATGATCAATATATTTTTAATTAGTTTTTTGTGTTTATCTTATTTTTTCCGTATTAGGAATATCTTTAACCTCAAACCTTTAAGTAAAATATAGAGCAGAGAAGGTTTTATTTCATGTAAAGATTTCAGTAGGTACGGTTCAGTGGAAATCCTATCTTAGCGCATTTTGCACACGAAGTATTATTCTCAAGTATGGTTGCGCTCATTTGCATTTTCTATGTTGATGAATGATAACGATGTGTTGAGCTTTGATAGTGCAAAAATAAGCACGTTTACAGTTCCTTTTTTCGCTGCTTGTATAGGCATCTATTCATTATATTGTGCAATTTGTAGGTCTTATGGACATGTTTTGTCCTTTCAGACTACTCAATATCCGAAAAAAAAAAGATATTTTAACAAACTCACTCCTCCTTAGTTAGGATATACCTTTCAATAAATGATGCTTAAATGGTATACATTTTCGTCATATTTTTGCGTTTGCGGAAAAGAATCAAAGTAGGTTAATTATTGCCTTTGAAAACAATTAATTTCTAGTTTGCACTTGCGCGATTGTGAACGATCATTTTATCTTTTAGTGGAATATATATATATGTAAGTCACAATCGCTTAATAGAACATCAGATGATAGTTATATCAGAATACATTTGACCTTCGTTTGTACTGAAAGCAATGCTTAAGGTCTCTATATAGGCCCATTGATAATAAAGAGGCATGACTGTAATGTTTTTGTTGTGGCGTCACTAAAGCGTTTTATTACATTAGACGAGAAAGATGCGATGTAATCCACACCCGTGGAAGCAATTGTAATTCACAGGTAAGGCAGACAGGTAGCCATTCTGTTATACAAACATTGAGGTAGGGTATAACTGCTTTCTCTCGTGAAAATAACGAAAACTCTTTCATGCTTAACAAAAAATACGTTAGCTGGTACTTAATTTACGTACTGCTTTCTACCGACTAACCAAGTGTATCTTTCAAAAACAGAACCTGAATAGGAATGATTCGACTCTGTATGATTTAAGTTTCAATGCGCTTAAGAAGATGATATAAGAAGAAATTTAAAAGTTTATAGAGATGAAAGGTTCAATAATTATTTATCGGAATATTCCAACCCCTTGTACGATATAAAGCTGGACGTGTCTGGAATATCTTTAAGCTCAAACCTTTCAGTAAAATATAGAGCAGGGAAGGTTTTATTAAAAACAGTTTAACCAATTGCACTACCGATATCGTTCCAGAGCTAGCTCGTCATATTACCTACACGATATGAACTTGGACAGTAGTTTTGATACTTAGTGAGAGGACCTCAGCAGTTGAGCTATCCAAGTCAATTGATGAGGAAATTAAGTCAATGAGAGCACAGCTCAGCGATATGAAAATTGAGAATGACCGACTCAGGACTCCATTGTCTAATCCCATGACGTCACAACCTCAACGTCGTGTTACATTTAGTGACGACTATCCCGATGTGCCAAATCACCCGAACGTTACTAAGAGACACAGCGGTAGCAGACCAGCTGATATTTGTAAAAACCCAGATTTTGAGTCGGAATCGAACTCAGGTCAACTGCGTACAAGCACCGTGAAAGTAAAGGCCTCCACATTTGATGGGACTACGGCCTGGAGAGACTACAAGTCTCATTTTGAGGCTTGTGCACGCATAAATAGGTGGACAGAGAAGGACAAAGGTCTTTACCTGGCAGTGACCTTGAGAGGATAAGCCCAAGGGATCCTCGGTGATCTACCTGTAAGGTTACAGGAAGTTCTTTCCAAGAAAATGAAGTGCCATGTTGGTACCCAGACAATTGACAATGAGCCAGCCCTCACCTGCAGGCGTGATAGCAATGTAGGTTCGTTGAGTAGTGTGAGTTGGTAGGACAGTTAGAGTTGCGCCCATTTGTACAGTTGTCAGTCGCCTGCTCATTGTTTACGTTAAATATAGCTGTATGTAGGTAGGTACAGTGGGCAACTGAGCGTGTTGTGCATCTCATTGTAAATAGCGCAGTGAGTGGTGAGGATTACTGCTCATTGTATATTTCTGTATGTAAGTTAATAAATTCCTTATACCCGGTATGTCAAATCTTGTGTTCATAGTATATATAGACAAATAGTCAAGACATTTACAACAGGTAATGTTAAATTGTTGTGTAGATATCTGTAAGCTAGGCAGCTCATTTGTTTGGTAATATATACTGTAGGGTAACTTTGTATATTTAATGGTTATTAGGCGTAACTCTGAGCTCGGATAAGCTCGCTCATATTTGTATATATCTGTACTTAAGGTGTTATGCTAGGTTATAGATACAATGTTTATATACTGTGTACTCAAATACAGTGATTCCGGGAAATAACTCGGTACGAACACCCCCTACACGTTACATATGTAAATTCTATTTCAAGCGATCTGGATTACCTCCCTTCAATAAACGCTGTCAACGTTTAAATTCTATTGAATAGTTTTAAATTACTGATGGCAAGTTGAAGATCGAGATAGGTGGTTGTTGAAAAAAAGAGTCTGCCGTGTTCTTGATTTATCATTTTGTCCGTATATATGATAGGCGTGGTCAAGAAATATCTTTGCAAGATTTTTGTGACCTGTTTTGATAAGCCTATGTGAAACTTCTGTTATGGTAATATACGTGTCTACTGCCATTGCATAACAATGTTACTACATAGACAAACCAAATATATGTTTGGTCTAACCTATTATCAATGACATCCCACTCTACCTATTTTACGTTACTGGTGTTGGCAGAGAAACGAAGAAGGTTCTCCGTCAAATGATTGTTCCAATTGATAGATTAACATTAGAATCAATTCATAATTTCTATGAAAGGAAAAAAATTGTTTACGAATATTTTAGAATTGCAAAGGTAAGATTAATATCGCCAGTCACTGCAATGACTTGACTTCGACATATGACATAATGTTCACAGTGAAGTTATGAAAATCTCATCAGGTGTTAGAAATTTGTCTAGTCTCTAGTTATATATGAATACCGGAAATTGGTCATGATAATTAGCTATATATCACTGTCAGAGTAACAACTAGTCTGGTTATCAGGACTTTTCTCATTCGAAGAAGAAGCCTACCTTACAGTAAGCAGAGGATTATCATGCCTAGAGCTGGCCATATCTTTATTGTGCAGGAGAAAGAAGGGGGCTGGAAATTGATTAAAAATCCTAATTTATAATACTTTTGTTTATAAAAGGAGAAGTTACAAATAATGATAAAATGGTTTGTGAAAACTTCACATTTAATAACGCCTTTAGAAATTCACGCAAAAATAAATAATTAGATAACTCAAAGGTAAAACAGACTTACAACTTTGGTACTCAAACTTAAAATTAAAAACTCCATCTTTTTGGAACCTAATTCTCAGTTGTGGCGACCAAACGTGTTTTAAGAAGACAGCACAATAACCATGCTACGAAGCGACGTAACTCGTAAAACTTGGTGTAGTACAACAATAGTATTTAAAAAATATGTAGTTGAAACAAGTAATGATGTTTATTCAACGCATAATAATTTTTTGATTACAATGATTAAATAATATGAATTTAGTCATGATTTTTTTTTATTTACTTTCAAAAACATTCATATATACATTCATATCCTTTTCTACGGATTTACAAATGTATGTTGTAAAGCAATTATTTCCTGGGTTACTTGACATGCATATCACAAAACAAACTTTAAATTAACACAGCAGTAATAATGATTGACGCAAATAAACAGATGATAACACCTATGTGTTTACTCGAAAGGATTACATTTCACGAATTTTGTTGATGGGTTTACATCATGTATATTTATGTATAAGGATGATGTAAATTGATGTATGTGGATGATGTACATTTGTGTAGGAGGAGTATGTTCATTTATGTAGGAGGGTGATGTTCATTTATGAAGGGGGGGGGGGAGATGTACATTTATGAAGGGGGGGGGGGGTGATGTTCATTTATGAAGGGGGGGGATGTACATTTTTGTAAGTGGGTGATAAAGACACTAATTGGTACACCTAGGAGACGATTGAAGAAAAACTAAACTGGTCGAAATGAATTTAATATAAATATTGAAACAATTATACAGTATTTATACAGGCTTATAGCGGATGGGTCTTCAGATATAAGATAGTGACTACCTCACAGATTAACATACGGGCGATCCACCGCATGCCACCCGGAGCAATTGGGGTCGAGTATTTTGCTGCAGGACACAAACAAACAGCACAAAACGGATCTTCAACTGCAGTTGTGTAGGTCAATGCCAGTAGATGTCAATACCTAGCAAAACACGTCCTGGATTAAAACAACTCGATCTATTTCACCATAAACTTATCTTAAAATATCAAAATCAGTAAAGAAAAAAAATATGCATGAACATAAAGTCTAACATAGTTTTCTGTACATCCTGTGTTCAAATGTACAAGTCACTTGAACGGATAAAACATTATTAAGTTGATGTCGGTATTAAATCCTGTCTCAGTTCTTCATTTTGTTGTTTATTGGTTCTCTGATATTTTGTATATGGAGGACCTGATCTCGAATAGTTTCTCTTTTTCTCCTGTCCTCTAACTATTCAAATCTATGTGTTGCAGGTAAGCTAAAACTGTTGCTTCTGCTGTGCTCCCATTCAGATACCAGTCTTCGCGGCTGAAATCCCCATTGTGCAGGAGTAATTCCTCCGAAGTAGAAGGCCATGTTGTTATTTCCACTAATGTCAGACAACGCTCCTACAATTTGAAATATTAATACAATAGTATTTAAAGGTATAATTAAATTTTGCAATTCTTACTGCATGATTTTATTTTCAAAACTCGGGTAATTGAAAATATTTTGAACTGATGATGACAAAAACGCAAACGCTATATGGTAACTATTGGAATCTCGGAACTTATGAAGGATACCCTCAAGAAGGGGAAGTCGATGCAGATGAAACGTGTAATAGCAACTACAGGCAGACTTTTTTTTAGCAAAATGTATTTTGTCCTGCTTTCTTTCATTTTAGAGAAACAAGATATTGACGGTCTAAACTTTCTGCAACTTAGTATCTATATGTAGGAACTGCAATTTGACCGTTCCCTGTGTTATATAACCATTTAAGATTTTTAGCATTTGTATTTTCCCTTTTTGTTCGTTTGATGTCATGTCCTTTAGGATAGGTGTGCCTTTCACCGGTTGATGGCCCTAATTACCAGTTATGTGTTGACGTGCCGTTAAGAATGTAATAGTAATAATATTAATTGGCCGTTACCTACTACGGGCAATCAAAAACACGTAGACAGTCCAATGCTTAGTCCAACGAACGCAAACAAACTCTTGAGTCGGTGAACCCCCAATAGTTCTACCATCAGTATATCTCTAAGAAGGAAAATGACCGCTGTATCGTTAAAAAATCGAAATCGATAATAGAACATAACAACCTACAATACTCATTTAGTCATTGTGATTTAACGCGTTTTGATCAGATTTACGGTAAAGGTTATACTCAAAATATCTATGAACCAATTCTTTTTAAAGTCGATATAACCTCTATAAGTGAACATATCTGAATGGTCTACTTTACAGCTATATTGATAAAAGTTGACGAATGAAGTTGAAGGAAAGGGGATCTAATCTTGTTAAATAAAATATGTTAGCTCATTAGTACATCTAAGTGTTGCTCTTTACCGAATACTTATAAATTGGATTTTGTGAAAGCAGACCTCGAAGTGTAGCGATGCGCAATGATTCGAATTTGTGTGATTTAAGTTTCAATGTGTTAAATGACATTTAGGACGGGAAGGGAGGGGAGAGGAGGGTAGGTGGAAGGGAAGGTTTAGGGAAGCGGGGGAGGTGTTAACAGAGATGTGATTAAAAGGTCCAAATATTCTTTATTTTGAATTATGGTTGTTTATTACAATGAATAATGATTTAAGCAATTTTATGTTGGTTTTGGGAAAAATGATCTTCCGAGAGAGAGAGAGAAAGAGAGAGAGAGAGAGAGAGAGAGAGAGAGAGAGAGAGAGAGAGAGGAGAGAGGAGAGAGAGAGAGAGAGAGAGAGAGAGAGAGAGAGAGAGTACCCGATATGTAAGGCATGTGAGGAATTTCATGTGATTTTAGACCAACGTTTCGAGGAAAGTTCGGTTTGTGAGGAATATTTTCGTTCCCCACATTTCAGACACACGTATTTTCGGATTCTGCGCGCCATTTAGATTACGTCGACATCTAAAAATAGTAGCTTTTGCATATTCATGACTTAATCTCACCACCGTAAATCGAACCTTTGAGAATCATGGGTAATTTTGTGAATTCGGCATATATCTACATTTTCCACTGTACAAGTTGTTCCAGTCACCTGTAGAAGTTCTGTCCCTCTTCATAGTCGATCCATCTTCAGTATTTTCGGCCCAATCCCAGTCCGGCCTCGTTTTCGTAGTGGTTCCGGCGCCATCCCATCCCTTTCTTTCAGCAACTTAAGTGTTTTGGTAAAATATCTATTTTTTCACTCACTTCAATCGTATTGTTGGTTTCTTTTAACAGAATTAGATATTTTTATTCCCTTTGTGAATTTTTCTTATATTGCATTGTGCAGTAATAGTGTCGAGTAAGTGAACTATATTAATATGAGTGAAAAAAGTTTTCTTTTTGTTTTCTTTCTTTTTTCGGAAGGGGAGAAAGTGAATTAAACTTTTATTGATTTATGTCAGCTTGTAATGACACCTTTATAACCACGATCGTTGGTATTGTGCACTTTTTATCTACTCGGCTTGCGATTGTATATTAGGTGTCATCACCCCCTATCGCAGGCTTTACTTCTTCCACCCTGAAAAACTCTAATATCAATGATTAAACTAAACAAACAAAAAAACATCGGAACAAAAATAAAAAGGGATATTGTTGCTGAACAGAAAGTCGGAAATTTTGATCGATTTCTAACTTATTACTTGGGTTGTATTTCAGTCTTTTTTTTTTCATTATATATGTATTTTTTTACTTGTTCACCATGTGCACATCATGGCAGACAACTGCAAAAATTGCCAAGAAAGAGTGCCCCCTCGTCGGGATGCCATCTGCGGCAGCACATGTGAGCGATGGATTCGCTGGACTTGTGGGAAAGGTAGATTAAAAAAATTACGTTAATTGTATTTCCATTATTAGTTATTATTATCAAACATTCTGCACTGAGTTGTATATTTAAAGGGACATGTCTTCAGATGTGTGCTGAAATATCATTTGTCAAAGAGGTACGGCCTGATTCGACCTAGGTATGACTACGGACTTGCATATTAGTTAAATACAAGTCTGTGATATGACCAATAATAAAATGGAAAAATACATTTTCTATTTTATCAAATAGTGATAGGTAATTTCGATGGGATATATGCAAATGCTAACCATCAGGTCTTAATTTCACCAATATTTCTTAACTTAAGGAACTTTCTTTAACTTAGAATTGCCCTTATATATAATGTATTTATTTACGCATGGAAATTTCATGCAATCCTATTTGCCGGATCTATTAAGCGTGATATTTCCTCAGAAACTTGTGTAGACTGGTTATCCAATGAATGTTGATTTATGACATAGATGCTGGTGTTTCAGATGATTGTTTTCAGCAATTAATAAATGACAAGGATGAATTCTATAATACAAACTAGGCTAGAACATGCCGTACATGTATTTCAGGCTATCTACAGGAAAGGAAACTAGAAACTAACTTTGAATCGCGCAGATAAGTAACACTATATAACCAAATTTTACACCGAGTTTAGGTCTAGCAAACGTGAGCATAAAATAAAACTGTTATGGACTTTATTACAATGTACTGAATGCTGCTGATGAAGTCATTGGATATGATGTAATATGAACCCGAACAGGTGATGTTAACCTCAATCAATATCACTTGTCCACGCTCATGTCTCATCATACAAATGTACATAATGGTATATTAGTATATTATGACTTGTGCTCATTCTTACTTCTAATTGGAGGAGAGATGTCAAGTGAAGAGCCTGTAGATTCACAGGTGTTACAGACCTCTGTGAAGATGTTCAGACTGCTGCAAAAGGGTTACAATTACAACATCATCATATTAATGGCGTAAAATATGGAAAAAATATAATGGGCAGCACATTTCATATCTACTCATTGTTTAATTAATTTTCATGGCCACTAATTGTCTATTATGTCATGTTTGATATGACTAAGACTCAATATATTCAATTAAGATCAATATTATGTCAACAAGGGTTGATATGCAAATAAACAAGTCATAATTTGGGGTTACTTTAAAATCTGAGCAAGCTCTTTCCAAAAATAACAAAAACAATTAAATCGTTGATTGTTTGAGATGTGAAATTTAATCTTAACATCAATCTTTTAATTCTCAAATGGTTTCCAATCACTAGAACTTCAGGTTATCTCTTAAGCGTGCGAAATTATTTTTCTCATCAACAGCAAAACAGTGGTATGACATAGATATTTCTATAAGGAACTCTCATTCTCTTAATACATTTAAATCAATTATCAGTAAGACAGAAATAATACATGACAAATGTTTTTAGGTATGGGATTTGCGTAATCTAAACATATTTCATTTCTGTTTAAGAAACCCTGCCAGATCTCTTGATTACGCATTTTCAGAGCAAAAGGTAATACAGCTGAATGTAGATGCAACAGCCCATATGAAGAATTTTATTACTATTTTGATGTTTGTCCCCTATACATTCTTAATCGAAATCTATTAATAAGACAGTTACAACCTCTCTTTCAGAATTTAATTAGATTTGCTCATATATGACGCTTAGAAATTAAGCAAAGATGATGATATCTCTAAATTGCAAAAAAAAAAAAAAAAAAGTAAAATAGGGGTTTGATTGAATGTGACTCTCTCTCTCTCTCTCTCTCTCTCTCTCTCTCTCTCTCTCTTGGTTTTGTTCACACACAGCGGTGTGTAACAACTTTCAAAGACTCCTATTGGTCGTCTCTGAAAAACAGTTCTCAATTTTGACATCAGACTACTTTGTCTGTCAATGAAAACTTGTACAGACTATGAAAAGCCATATTATATTGAATACAACACCAAAAAATCTAACAAACCGGTGGTATTTATGTATTAAATAGCATAGACTTAATGCAGTGCTAAGGTGTACAAAAAAGTCATCTCAATTTGTCCGTGTCATGATCTGTATGAGATCACACGATTTGCTTTCCATTTATAATTTTAAAATGCACGCGCATTCAGATTATGCTTTAAATAGGTATTAAATACAAAGAAAATGATATATCGTACTTAGTTGAAAAGTAACACACAATTTTATGTATGGTATATCTGTGTTCAACCTAATCTGGCGTGGCTAGACCTAGTAACATTGTCGCCGAAAGAACATGAAAATAAAAACTATGTAATCATTTAAGTTATATTTATTTAAAAATAATATTCCAAATACATTTTAAATTCCATTTTTTGAACACTTGATTCACATAAATATAATTATCTCGTATAAACGACACACTACAAGACAGGTTACGCACACGTTCCGGACACAAATATGTGTCGATGCATTTCAACGTTGAACTCCCGTCAACCAACATTTAATGAGAAAAACCTGACATTACAAAGGTAATGGTTCACATTTTTTGATCGAAATAATATAATTAAAATTATTAATCATAGTAGTGTCTTGAGAGTCGGTATGACGTCTGAATTCAATACAAATTGTTTAGTACACTTCACAAAGGTTAAACGTGCACATCTGAATATTTCAATAGATTACATCTGATACATGTATGTACATTTTTCTATAATGATGTTTATAATCTACTATATTCTCATCCAAACTTATAATAATATCCAATTACTCCTGTTTTGGTTTTGCATAGACCAGTAATTTTGTTATCAAACTGTATGTAAGGAAAAATCACCAGACTTTCAATAATGACTGAAGTTGGTTATTATCATTTGCCACCATCAATACAAAACCACAAGCATAATGTTTTCATGTGATAAGATTTCTTTTTTCCATTCTGGCGTCTTTACCTTCATCAAGATGAATATAGTGGTGAACATCACATTGGTATTGTATATATGTTATCCATAACTTTTCTGACCTCCTTTTCACTAATATGATTGGCTGCACACTTGTCATGGTTATTGGGTCTTCTTGATTCCCATGCAGAAACCCGTCTGAGTGGAAGACAAAGTACGGCTCCAAGTACAAGAGTGATACCACCAAAGTAGAACGTTAAGTTGTAATTCCCACTGATGTCAGACAAAGCTCCTTGAAAACATGAAGTATTTATCACTTGTAATCGTTCCGATTTCATCCATAATTAACACAGTATACAATTTGATATTGTAGGTGGTAGGCTCTACTGATGGTTTACTTCAACCTAATTGCCACTTTTTTATTTCCGATAAAAGCAACACGAATCAGAATGTATATTTGTACATAAAGTTATATTGAAAGCAACCTTTTAATCACATTTTTACCTTCAAAATGGAAAATAATGACACATAGCAAAAGTGGATTATTATCAACTTGAAAACTTTTTTTTTTTTTTTTTTTTTGTGTGTTTTGTCTTTTGTACAATATTTGTATATTGAAATATTTGGCTGAAAATAGCGTACATTTCAGGAAAAAAATAAAATACATCAGTTCATTGTGTTACGTCGACGATTGGAAGGCTACATACACATAGCTTTAATCAGGAATCCCATTAAACTTTTAAAGATAACATTTCGCATCATGATAAAATTGATGAAAAAACAGTATTTATTCCTGACGTGCAATGTACCTGCTATCGGAGATCCAACAAATGTCGACAGGCCCATGCTTAGTCCTACCAATCCAAATGAACTTGTATGCCGGTCTGACCCCAATAATTCTGTCATCAGTACACTTCTCAGACAGACGAATGCCGCTGTAAGTATGCCAAAGAAATCGATATTCTTATGGACTTATTTGCAGTAACGGACAAAAATTGATTCATTACAAAAAAAAAAAAAAAAAAAAACGTATCCGAAGTTAAGGCACCGAGCGGGAACGTATGCTATAATTTACAACCAACAACTTCCGTCGCTTGGGTTTGAAAATCTTAACATGTTAATTTTCTCTCGGAATAAATACCAATGTTTCATTAGTACGTCCACGGTTTAAATTTGAAAATTGAAGCAAACCGAAAAGTTATATCTTTCACATAAATCGTTACAAGTGTTATTTATTGAATGTATTTTAAGCTATCTCCAAATTAACAGCAGCAAAGACAATCTGTTAAGGGTGTCAGTTTGCAACTTACGTGAAATATCAATTGAATTTATGAACACCTATTAATGCAGATGAGTAGATGATTAACAAATAATTTTTTTTCAATGCTATTTTTCAAATCAAACCGGTCAACTTAAAATGTCATTTTTCTTTTCTTGCAAAGTTGATTTAATAAAAATAAATCTTATATAACAATTTGACACTGGTTTATTTTACAATAATCTCCTGTCCCTGACAGACAAATGATAAGTGAATGTTCATGAACTTACCCATAACAATGCCATATACAAAAGCGTATATAGCTAAAGCTGCAAATGTGGTGAAGTAGGGCACAAAGCAAGTAGCTACTCCACCAGTTAACATGACGGTATTGTATATTATCAAGCTATTAGCCCATGGTTTGTCCGTTATGAAGCCAATCACAACACGTGTAACAGTGGTAGAGGCACCAATTATTTGAATCAGAATAGTTCCCTCGATGAGTGATAAGTTGACAACACTAGCCCACGTCGGCAAGAAATTTATTGGTACAAAAAATCCTGCAACAAATGATTGTCTTTGATTATTCCTGATATTGTAAATTGTAATTACGGTTTTGAGTTTTTAAACCATTACTATTAATATTCCACTTACCGAACATGGTAAAAAAGCACGATGCTCCATACATTAGCATAGTTGGACTTTTAAGTAATGCAAAGTGAAACACTGCCTCGGTTGATAAACAGAGTTTTCGCAGATATGCCTTGGTGGTTTTTGCGTTTTTGTTACCAAACTTGCCATGGTTAACATTAATTTTCATGATTTCCGATTTGTTCTCCTTTACTTTTTTAGTTCCCTGTGGTTGGTACATTGCGGAGACCACAACACCATTAAGACTGACTGCTGAAACAATCCACATCGTTCCACGCCAGCCGTATGTTTCCAAAAGAATTTCGATCGTAGGAGCAAAGACAAATCCACCCACTCCTGATCCGCAAATGGCGATTCCCGTCGCTAATGCCAGCCGTTTGTCAAAATGCATATTGATTATCATAATCGATGGAAAGTACAGCAGACCAAGTCCTATGCCTGTATGAATATTAGTAAAGATGAAACAAGAATTTTAAAACGATAAAGGAAAATGATATTGTAATTAAACTTATTTTTCCTAAAACATACCATTCATTAAGTGTAGATAAAATGCTTCCTTTCCATGTAATTTTTAATATTTCCCTTAAAATCTTGAATGGGCGTTAAAATTAAAAAGAAATGCGAAAGCCGATTTAATGTCACTAACAGGTGGTAATAACACTTAAGTACCTTAATTACGTTCAGGTAGTGTTTTCTTCTGAAGTTTTATTATTATTCTAGTATCATTTTTTACAAGTTAAGCAGTAGCAAGTATTTGTATATCAAAAAATATCTAACTTCTCTATATTCATTTAAGAATTAGAAACATGTTTATTACATGTTAACTGCGTTTTAGCCTACGTTTGTATTCGCAAAATGTCAACATTAATCATTCGGATAGGAATGTGTTCACAATCATGATACCTCTCCTACCACGCCGATTTCAGGGTCACTGTAAATTTCTCCCGAACCTCAATTTTTCCAAACTGAGGATACCTATATTTTGCAAACAATAATTTAACTATCAAAAAGAATCTTGCAACATACATACAGAAATTATAATAATATGTTATTCTGGTATAATCTATCATGATCAGTACTTTAATAGTATTTCGTATAGTTGAAACGCTTACTTAACGTTTAACACGTAATATATATACATCAGTATATACAATTACGAGAATTGATGTGCAAGTTATGACTAATTCCTCGTAGACACTAACCGGTTACCGTTAAACAAAAATCATTTCCTTAATTAGTGTAAAATTTTTGTTAACTGGTGAGAGAGCAAACAAGTCAACTGCAGCTATATCTCCTTCTGTTATGTGATTTTAGATACCTCCTACGAAACTGTAAGATATTATCATCACGTCCAAGTTTGGTGAAAAGGAGGACAGGAATATCCCGACACTGGAGGTAATTGCCCCAAGTTGGGCTACGTTCCGGCAGCCATACTTGTTCACTAAAACACTTACAATTGGACCTAGAGAAAAACATAAAATACTTTTGATAGTTTTTTAGCAGATAAACTTTAGCTTGCACAGAGAAATAAACAATAGTATAAAGATATTGACAGTGTTTTTTCAACGATTTTTAAAACCATTTTTTAGTTGACTCTCCGGCATTATTGGTGTAATAACTCTTTACGCTTACACATTCACTAGAAAAGATGTAGGGTTCTGTAACAGATTCTTCATTGGTTTCGATTTTCTTCTCTTAGATTGTAGCGTAAGCCTTATCACCATAAAAACTCCCTTAAAAATTTAGAATAAAAAAAAAAAAAAAAAATCCAAATATACGAACATGAAATTTTGTTGGCCAATGAAATAAATTTGTGATATCATTAACATATACGACAATATTATTATACAAAGGAGAAGTGCCATTTTGGGCCTTCTGGTGGCCATGACGAATACTTTTTATTTTTTGTCTATTTTTGAGGTCAGGCGGTAATGACATGACATTAATCTAAGGTCAGCTCAAGGCTGTAAAAAGTATTCGTCATGGCCACCAGAAGGCCCAAAATGGCACTCCTCCTTTATAAACTATATTTGATTAAACACAATTTAACACGTAACATTATACATGTAAGTTCCCATTTTCATGATACCTCATGACCTCAGGGCGATTGTTACTTATGTCATTGACACTGACACGTCATTAAATTTCAGAGAATAAAAATTTGATACCGAAAAGTCAATGGAAATTTACTTTATTTTGACGTCAAGAATCAATTTGACGCTTCTGCCAAAGTGATAGAAGGAAATGTCAAAACTTTGAATACGTTTACAAGTCCATCAGATAATATTTTAATTTCAATGTTATCTGAATGATAAACCTTAGTCATAGATATGTGAAAACGGCAGATTGCATTTCAATGCTGCATATATCTTGTACAAAATGGACGAATTGGCTGACGCTAGTTTGTATGGATGAAAATATTTTAGGAGACTGATTTTGCTTATTAATAAATGGAAAAAACAGAGACCCCTCGCAATATTATGGACACTCACCGAGAACAAAATAGCTTCCAAGCATTACTGAATTTAAGAGCTGTGTCTTTCCTTTGCTTTCTCCGAAATATCTGATAAATTCTGGAAATAAAATTCCGAATGTGTAACACACCCCATCTACCAACAAGTTGACCATGAAGGAGAGACATACAACCATCCATCCCCAACCACCGTCTTTGGCTTGCATATGTGTTGAATGTCCAGACTTGACAGCCTCCGCTGAAAATTTCACCTTATCAAAATCAATACAGAAGCATAGGGAGATGCAATGACAATTTAACTATTATTGAGAAACATTACCTCACACTGAAACGTTGAAAGTCATTATTTTTATATCGATTGCATAGAAACCTCCGAATGCAATATCTATTTACATGTTGATACCACAAAACATTGCGCACATTCTTTGGAAAAAGGGAGAGAAATGTTAGTTTTATCAATGTACCTGATAGGTTTGGTGCCAGTTGGTCGATCTTTTCCGTATAATGAACCATGAACTTATTTCACGTGTTAATTAAGGCCTGAAAAATGTTTCTGTTTATCCGTTAACCCGTACATATTTTTGATAATTCTAAGCAAGAAGTACTAAAGTCAAATCTTTTCCATTTCAAGTAAATAAGGTCTCAGTAGATAATTCACTGGTTATCAAAATGGTATTTAAATACTTACAGCTACTCTTCATCCCCGTGAAATGATGAAACGCCCAGTGTTAAAGAACTCAGGGTAACAATATGAGAGAGACAAAAAAGTCGACGTTTTTGTTGAAATTCATCACCCATGCACTTGTTGGTCTGCCTATGACCTAAACTATTCTTATTACAACCAAACCATACGTTGCATAATCTTATACATAGCGAGATAACAAGGTATTTGTCCTACTTCTTTATTTTCAATGTTTAAGGCGGTATAAGTTTCTCATACTGTTGTGTTTTTACGGACGAATGCACAATCATTTGACCTACATTTATATATTGTATTAAAAACGGGTAACATCACACATCCGATACAAAGATATAGAATTAACTAAAATAATACATACTGAAGGGATACAAATATGCCGTGGCTACCCAACTTGATAAAGGATGGGTTTCCGCAATGCTTATGGAAGGTAGCACTCAGCAACAGGCCGCTACTCACTTCGGAATTCACAAATCGATTGAAAGTCGTCTTGATTTATATTTGAAAGCCAATTGAAAATTGATGACAGACCGAGATGTGGACGTCCATATTGAGAGTCGCGACGTCAACATCGATTCATTAGATTTGCTCAAACCTCAACGCCAACGTCGGCAGTACTCTGGTCTGCATCTGATACATCAACGTCCAGCACGTCATGTGCGATGGTTGAAGGCACATGTAACAGACGAGTCATATATGAGGATGGTTCGGTTATGGCTTTAGGAGACATTTCGCAACCGTTTATTGTTAAAGCATTAGACTTTAATTCTTATTTCAAATTTGACCACAATAATGTGAACAAATCAAAATAGATTAAAAAAAAAAAAATAAAAAAAATAAAATACACACAACCATATATTTATCGCCAACAAGCCAAATGATAAATAGCTCTATGATGAAGTTGACAAAATAAAACCTTTGGAATACCCAAGATGTTGCAATTACTATCCTATCAATATGAGGATTTATACAAATCGAAAGGACTTTATACCTACTTCTTTATTTTGAATGTATTGCAATGTAATAGTCCTTACTTATTATAATTATATTTGTAGTTGAGGAAAGTAGATAAGGTATACACAGCATTTCAGATAGATAAAAGTGTAAGTAATTACATTAAATGTATTTACAGTCCTATCTTCCTTGAAGTATCATGGTTAGACTTTTCTTCCAGTAATTATGTCTATAAAGACATAGTTCTTTGAGATTAAACAAGACTTCCATATATATACAAAATTTACAATATTTTCACCATAGCTACTACTATTTCTGATCTCCAATGCATTAGATAATGTCACCATGACACGCTAAATGAATAAATATGTTATGGAAATATTTCGTTCTAGTTAATTGATAATTATAAACATGAATATTTTGTTTTTTTTTAAATACGCGCTTTGTTTGAAGGAATATTTTTATTTCAAGGAACTTTGATACACATTAACAAACCTTGAGAAATCAGCACCATCAACCTTCATCAAATAAAATTAAAAGACAAAAAATAGAAGTTATAACAGTCAACATCATGATCAGAACAGCATCAAAAATATATTATTCATAAATCATGAGCACCAAATGTACCTTGCCTACGAAGCGCAAACTTTTTATCTTCAAAAACTTGAAAAAGTGTCATGGCGGTAGGTGTGAAAAACCTGAAAAAGTGTCATATCGGCGGGTGTGCGCGTGGGACGAACAGTCCAATTTTGTGACGTCTAATGAGGTAAAGTGATGTTATGTATTAAGACGATCTTGCCACAACGACAAGGATTACATCAAAATTGATGTTCTGTTTGTAAGTTTTGTTTGTTTATAAGTGCTGTTAGTTGATAATTCAAATCAAGCCCCCAGACTAGGTTCTTATCATGGCGCCAACTCGCACGTACAGTGCTCTGTACGCTTAAGTCATATCGAGAATTCCGTAAAATATATTGTTCAAAATTAATCAATAATTCAACCACACTGAAATATATAGTAATCGTATTGTCATTAAAAGATAAACTAATTTTGAATGCTTTGAAAAGATCCAGGCATTATTTACCCAGAAAATTGCCGCTAGAGGGCTCTAACTCTTTTCGATATTTTAGTCAATGAGAAGGCCAGGATTGGTAAATTTTGTCCGAATGGCCGTCGCAATAGGCTATGCGTACTGAGTACGTTTAGCCTAAAAATGGGACTTTCCGGTTGTTCCCAGGACACGACCAGTATGTCGTTAGAAGCCTTTATCACGATGTCAGTATGCAAGACTAGACAAGGTGACATCTCTGCAGTAATTAGAATAAAGATGCACTTCATGGCGGTTTTTATTACTTGTAGGTTTTGTAGCCTAAAGCGGTCATTGACTTTGCATCAAGGTGATACCAGGATATATCAACCCTTAAAAGTACTTACAAAGCCTCAGGATACTGAAAATAAACCCGTCGAGATTTGACCCAGAAATTTGTCACTTTTTTTCTGCATGGGAATTTACAGTGAATTGATATCATATAGGGCACCTGTTGGCCATCACATGCTTGAATGATATCATAGCCTTATTATAACAATCCAATAACAATTAATATAGGACAATGTTACACTGTTTATCGGAAATTAACTTGACTTTAAAATATTGCAACATTGTCGAATGTAGACGTGTACATTTATGTTGCTATTTACGTTGTCAATATTTTTGTAAGTTGTTTGCCATGTATCAGCAGATAATGAAATGAAATTGTAAATATTTCACAGACATTTGTCGTTTTAGAAATCAATATGAAGTCTTACTTGTTGTCGCTGAGCTAAATTATCCCAATACAATGTCTATACTTATAGTTTAACTATTGTATAAAGGTGCAACAACTGATTTATATTAAACATATTCTATTGTCATATTAGAATGACCAAAGGATTGGTCAGAAAGTTTGACCAACTTATAAATGAACTCTTCCTACATAAGGTCAGTTATGGAATAACAATAGTCACATGATTAAACATTAGAATGTGAAATATGAAGAAATTAGATAATCTATATACCCGACCTTCCCATGAAGCACTGTGCAGCTTCACAATCTTTGCATTGCCATGCTAATTCTCCGTTTAGTGCATTTTGGAAATTATCACATAAAGGACAAGTATAAAAAGAAGTGGTAAGAATATTCACAGGGGTATCATCATTGACACTCAGCAGACTGTAAGATTCGCTCTAAAGAGTGTTCGCTCGATTTCTCAGACCACAATGAAGAATATTTAGTTTTCTAGCTCCATAGCTTATTAATTATTTTCTTAGATTACAATAAGTGGATATTAAAAAAATAGCCTTAAAAGCTAAAAGTTTATAGAAGGAGAGACTTTATTGTTATCTTAATCATTCCAAAGTTCAGTTGTAGATGAAAATAATGAATTTTGAACCGTTGAAGACGACGCGAATGTTGTTGTCTCAGTAAGTGTGCGTTTCGTAAATTGTGTGGAACTAGATTTTCAATATCCTCTGGCAATAAATCTGAGAGAAAATTAAGTGCAAAATTGTTTACTATACTATAAAACAAAGAAAGTTTGTGAGTTTGTTGTCCTTTAGATTCATCAGAAATACATTCATGGTAGATGCATAGCCCAGGTCTCTTGTGCAATATCAAATTCTGTAGGAAAGCAGTCAGTACAATTAGGAACTAATAACATTCAATTTACACCAGGAATCGTTACATACACATTTTCAGGCTTGTTATTTGTGTTTTATAATTCATATGGCTACATAAACTGGACAAGTAATTCAGCATTGATCTTATTGTTTCTATTTCAGTCTGCAGCATCATCAGCTTTTGTAAAAAATGCTTGATTCAAATATTTCAGAATGTAAACTTGTAATAAACATTTTTAAAATAGCGATGTGCAATTTGCACTAACCTGAACCCTATAGCAGACCAAATAGTATAACAAATTTTGTAATATAAATATTCAATATGATGACAGGCTTACACATAGATCATTTTTTAAAGTTTAATTCAAAATGGAAACATATGTCCAGTTGCTGCACCTGAATTTGATTGATCATAGCAGATGTTCAGATCGGTAATAACTAAATACATTATGATCCATGACGTTCCTATTTCCTCACAATCTTCGTTCAATCATCTGCTACTTATAGATAAAAGATGCTTACAAAACATCAGCAGGGGAGGAGGGCGCTCATTCTTTTGTCGACTTTACTGAAAACGTGCAAGATAAAGCACATTCTTTTCTCGACAACGGTACAAAAATGGTTATAACATGATATCTATATTCTAATTTATTACAGAATCATAGCTGGGATCTTAAACGTAGGATCCATATACAGATATACATACTGACAAACACAAATCCAATGGCACTGGTTGGTATTCATGTAACTATATTCCTATAAATTGGCGTCGGTGTCACAGCAATTGACTTTCAGTTGATTTTATATTCTATATTTTTTCATCATACTGTGAACAGCTTGCATTGATGACAGCTGTAGCAACGGCACCTCGAATTTATCGACTGTTTGCTTCACCATTG